CTCCATTCCCTTTTACTAATCCCTTGTACCTTCTCCTAGTCTCTCCTGTTCTCTGCCTACAAGGTTTTTTTCAGTGGATTCAGTATAATCACGTGGAGTGCTGCAGTATTTTCTGTATTCTAATATCATGTATACCTGTATGCATGAATGGCAGCAGAATGGGAATACAGCTAGGTGTCAATAGGAAAGTAGTGAGTAACTGAAAGGGACCTCCTCCCCCCACCATTTTAGAGGAAGACATGATTTTGGCAAATACTGAATTATCAGTTGGACTTTTTATGTAAATAGGGGAAAAATGTTACTTTTGTTTTCTTTCCAGTCTGTGCTTTCATATTGACACCTAGTTGTATTCGGATTTAATCTGTGGCCCCACATAGTGTTCAAGATGTACACTACATGTTGGGTGGAATGAGTGAGTTGTTTACTCAGTATGTATGAAGTGTGTGTGTGTGTGTGTAATATTTATGTATGTATTAATGCTTTGTTGTGAATATATACATAAATCTGGCAGTGCATCTGAACCTGTAGTAATTTAGTTTTTAAAGTAGGATATTATGTAGATATCCTTTTATAAATCCCCCACTGATAAGCACATAATGTTTGTGTCCAGGGTAAAACAGTTCTTAATTTGTCAAAAAGAAAAGTGGTTTGTGGGTGTTGTACAATGACTTCCAGTCCTATCCACAAGGTATTAGGAAGTATCAGAAATGAAGAGAACAAAGTTATAATGTTCTTTTCATAACAATTTATTAATAATTAAAATATATCAATGTTTCAGAATTCTTAGGTCTTGTTTTCTTGAAGTTAAACAAAAACAAGAAAAATGTAAACAAAGAAGAGACAAATATCTGAAGTATTGGAATTTTAAACTTTCTCTGGCTGTCTTATTAACATAACTGCTTTTGATTTTTCATGTTAGATGCCCCTGTTGATTAAGGGGGGGGTAGCCCTCTAAGTAGAATAAAGTGGGAAAGCTTCGATGCAGTCATAGTCGGGATGAAACCACCACCGTTCTTATATGTTGTATGTTTGCATAAATGTGTGTGTATATGGTTTAGTGTGTGAAATTAATAAAGTTATCTTTAGCTTATATGTAAAGTCTGCATAAAAGATTAATGTTAATTTTTCTTTCCTCAATAGAATGCAAGTATGAATGGACCAGCCAGTGAGGAACAGTGTCAAGAGGTGAGTACATAGGTAGTTGTTTTTGTGTGACACCAAAAGAAAAGTTGGATATCTGGGAGAGGGTGAGTATGCAGGGAGTTGCTAGGACTTGGGTGGATAGTGCACATAGGAAGCAGCTTGGATTATTGTCAATATCTATAGTACACTTTAGAGTGAATTGAGGACTGAGTGTAACTATCATGGGCAAATACTTTGCATTCATAAAGATTTGTTTGGAATTAAAGGAAGGAAAATTGTGTGTACATGCACTAATATCTGATGCACTGATGAGATCAGTCCGCTTTGGGTAAGATCTTCAGGATTACATAATGATCATACCTTAACATTGAAGTAATGTGAAGTGGAAGGGGGTAAATAAAGTAATGGGCTTTGAATATGGTCAGTAAAGATTTATTTTTAGTTATAAAATTTATAGGTTTGTAATAACAATTGGAAAGGTTTTTTTTTTATCTAAGCATTTTGAAATACCTAACACTTTGATATATTATTTCAAGTTGCATCATGATCGATACAAAACACAACATCCTTTAAAGTTTGTACTGACATACAAAGTTTTGGAAAGAGTTTCTTAATTTCACAGAAAACCATTAAAGCACTTAGTATGACTGATTTTTAATTACAATTAAAACATTGTGGTAGCTCCAAATAAAAGGAAAAAAGTACCTGACTACTCAGTGACTTTTATTGTTTGTACTCACCACATTTTGCTTTTGCAAGCTTGTGGAAACTTAAATGTATTTCTCATATCAGAAGTTTGTTGTCAATAATGATGCTGATAATAATAATAAAAATAATAAATAATGATAATGATGATGATGATGATAATAATGATAAAAATAATAATGATGATGATAATAAATAGATAGATAAATCTTCATATGAAAAATACTCAGCTTTTCCTTTGATATTTTTGAGCCTGTAAGATCATATCAGTTGCAGAATGGTTTTGAAGACCTTCACCAAAGTCCATACCATGGCATATGACTTGGACATGTTGGGAATTCTATGTTATTCCAGCCACCGTCATGATTGACTTCAGATTTTTCTAATATAGATTGAACGAAGACAATTTTTATTCACCTTTTTATTGAAGAATTCCATATCGAGAAACTTGCAATGAGATTCGTAATTAATGAAAGTATAAAATCCTATCTGAGATTACATGAAATAGATCTGAAAAATATGATCTGATTAGCTGTCTGGAGTGTATTTATCATGGTAGAGGCATACAAATTGATGCAAACTGAAAAGATGTTTTAACAGGTTCCAATAATGTACACATAAAGGGCAAACACACATCAAAGTGTATCAAAGTGTTAAGGGTTCTGGAAATGCTATAAATAAGGCCTTTAGATACACAGCTGTTAGGATCTTGTCTCACATGCAGAGAGTCCGTATCACAAATTGTGATAATTATTTATTTTAAGTCAAAGGTATTCAGTCACTACATCATTCACAAGCTCGTAACATTGCACACCCTTTCAGTCTCACTCATATTTGTGTTAATACTAATAAACTGATCATTTGTTTGCTCTTTTCATTTTGTGATTTTGTAAGAACAATTTAGAAAGGGAGGATGTACACATGCACATCAATATGCATTTATTGAGCCTACTTGCATATGTATACTTCAGTTGTTAATTTGGCAGGGATTTATTCAGTAGAATGTTGCTTATATTAAAGATCGTAGGGCAGTAAAAATATGCACTTGTATAGTGTGCAACAGCACATATTCCACGTGTTCGCAGTTATATAGTACCAAAGGGGAAAGTTAGTACTGCCTTGCTTGCTAATCTCCTGCAGGCTGTGAACTGTGAATTACCTAGTTCTCATGAATTAATAGTTCATTGCCTTTCTTCAGCAAGCAGTGCTATTCATTCACATTACTAGCAGGCCTTTAACTCTTGCGAATGTTGCCTAGGCTTTTATATTGTTGTATATTTACAGACTGCCTTTAAGAATGGGTTGCTGATTTTATTATAAGATGTAGTTGCTGATCATATCAAAATTTTATGTAGCTTTTTCCATGTGGCTGAGCTCTTTCCTGCACAATGATCAACTTGCATGTCATGGTGAATCAATGCCATTAACTTCTACTAATGTATGTGTCAGTGACTTTACCCTGGCACTGCAACTATATTCCTGATAACTGATACCTAAAGTATGGGAAGTAAATTGCTTATTTTACTTGTATGGACTTTTAAAAAACTCTAGCTGGTCATTTGTCAGTTTTAATATTTTTATCAGGAGTATGGATGATGTGGTGGAGTAGTGGTCATGGTGGTGTAGGTGAGGGTTTTAAAGAGGTCACTTTGGGCACACAAGAGGTGGGTTTGGGTGTCTTAACCAAGCATGCTTCTCCCCTTTACCTTGGCTGACTAATGCTCCCAGGACAACACCTCGCGTGCCGACACCGCCAGTCTGATGTCCGCTTCCTCTGCCTCAGTCACAGACACTAACCTTTCTCAGGATCAGTCAGGAGCAACGGCAAAAAAAGCTAAAAAGAAGCGAAAGGTAAGCAAGAGACACTTGGGCTTTCCAAACTTGAATTTTTCCTTTTCTTCAGAAAGGCTATAAAGGAGCTGCCAAGTTTGCATGTTCATCAAGGGAAACCAAAATGCACACCATGGGCTTGTTAGCCTGAGATTTGTCATTGGAAATACACACACTCGTTCTAATTGGCCTGACAGTTCAAATGATTTTTAAATTGATGTATTAGCACAGTTGTCATTTATTTTGCAACTTCTTGGTCATTGTAATTCTTATTATGGATTGATGTATGTTAAAGATTTTTTTATTAGGGGAAAGTTATATTTTTTCCCTCTGAAAAAGAGATCAATTAATTGCAAAATGCTGTTTAAATTAAGTATCAATTTGTGTCCTATTCCAGAGAATCTTTTCTAAGCTTTTTAATTACCTGTGATATTAGTTTTGATTTAGTTTTTTAATGAATAGAAATGGGGAAAATTCCCCAAAAAAGCCAGAATATAGTATTTATACTGCATATTGTGCATGTCTTGAGACTGGACCTTCATTTTCTCCCCATTGTCCAATATGTATCCTTTCATATCAGTATAGCAGAATTAAAATGTTTATGCATACATCTAAATCATGTGATTTTTAAAAATTTCTTTCCCTTGCATTGTTATCAGTATTTCAATAAAATTACTCTCAAGACTGACCAGAATCAAATCAAAGAAAATATGATGTAGATCAATAAAATTGTCCATATATTAACTGCCTCAAATAAGTATCAGGACTAGTCATGTCATGTAACCCATTGATACCAGGAGTGCATGTATATGTGCACTGTTCACTGTTTTTATTAAACATATAGATGGCTTCAGAAGTACTTAGTCACCAATGAGCCATTGCTAGAACTTCATTGATATTGCCCATTGAAGGAATGAGATAAATGGGTGAGTCAGGTAAGCATAGTAATTGAGTTCTTGGAGGCAAGCAAATTTTAAGCCATCTTATGTGTAAACAGAATTAATAGAACAAAGCCACTCAGTGGATAGTGCATGTGCTTGGTATGACTGGTTAAGCCCATGGTGTGTTGGTTACTGAAAGAGGTGTTAGGATCTTTTTTCTCTTTTGGTATCCTTGACAAGATGCAAAGAAGTAACTGAAGAACTGGCAATTGAAAACTGTTTATAAGCTTCAGAATGAAAAGTTAATATTAATAGGATTGTAATATCTGGATTTTGGATTGGTTATATACATACATTTTTCAAAGTTGTGATTGGAAAGAAAATAAAAATTTACTCCATTTTTTTTTTGTTTTAGAAGTAGTACTTCTAATCATTCAGTTG